ATGTTTATTGCCTAGACCAAATCAATCCCCTTAATAAGCCATAATATACGCCAGCAAGTACATTATTTCATAGTTAAGGAAAGTTGCTACATAAAGAGTCAGTCCTTTGATCTCTCATCCTTTACTACTAATGCATCAAAAATGTGCTACATAATCCACTAGTTAGTCATTTCTATTTATACTCACTTAGTAAGTAAAATAAAATTATACTTTACTAATTTTAAACTTTTAATCTTAAGCCTGGGTTCTGCTTTATGTCTGACTGTGTACACTTGAAAGGAAATTTGCTATTTACTAGAAAACAAGGTAAAAGAACATTCAAATATTTGAATATACAGTCACTTGTTGCTCAAAAAATTTGGATTTTGAAGCAGTTCAGATTTTAGAGTTTTGCATTAGGAATGCTTAACTGTTAAAAAATCTATACAAATATTCCAAAACCCCAAAACCTTCACTATCTGAAATGCTTTTTTATTTTGTGACAGGGTTTCACTATGCAGTTCAGGCTGGCCTTGGCCTCACTGTATAGCCCAGGCTAGCCGGCAATTCAGTGATTCCTCCTGCCTCAGCCGCTGGAGTGATAGGATTACAGTCATGTGCCACCACGCCCAGTCTCCTGAAACACTTTTTGATCTCAAAATTTCAGATATGGAATAATCAACCTATAATGGAAAAAAATCCTAGAGATTAAATAGTCATTGTTTATAATATAAATTAAATTTAGCTGCTAAAACACTTAGATTGAAATGACTTCAGGGTAGACAACAGTATAGATAAGAAAAAGACCAGGAGACAAGATCAGGTGACATTTATCAGCCCTCACTTATACTGTAAACTTACGCAAACATGGGCATAAAAAATATCTTTTAGAAGAAGACTTCAGCTTATCCAAGTTGGCTGTTTCTGAACACTGCAAAACCTCAAATGAGTTTTTTAAAAAATTCGTCAGAAAAATAGACACTACCGAATATCTTCCATGTTAAGGAATAAGAGTTTCGATGGACGCCACCGAGTGATCAGTGCATAAGTGTTTGAGTATCTTCTCTGTGCAATGCAAGGCTCTGCCAAGATCCCTACTCTGGCCATGTCTCCCCCACTTCCCACTTCTCTTGCTGGGACCATGGAACTCTTCTCCCCTCTGCATCCTGAGCCTCAGTTTTTGTTTTTGTTTTCCTTTACATGTCGGGCCTAATCCTTCCTTCTTCACCTCTCATCAGCACAGCTCACCACTAAGGCTTACCTAGGAAAGAAACGGTAACACAGTTCCAATGACTATTACACAGCTCAGCATCTAAGTCACTTTGCTGCTCAGAAGCGCGAAGGTTCTAAGAACTGGTTTTCATCCATAGAACTTCCTACCCTTCTGTGAGATAATTAAATCAGTTTTGTTCCAATCCCTATTCTGTGTATCACAACAGGGGATTAAATTCTTCTGAGTTGGTTTAATATCAGTTTCTGGTTCTCCCACAATAAGCTCCACTGCTATAAAAGGTTGTACACACCTGCTGTTGTTAAGGAGTGACAGTGTAAAAATATATAAAGGTAGCTCAAAGGTCAAAAGAACTGCAGGCACATCTAAGGCAAGGGCAAAAAAGATAAACTGGTAATATTAATACAATGATGAGATGAAAGATGAACAATGTCTCAATATAGCACAAGGTAAGTTCCACCTAAGTTGAATACTCCTAATTATCTGCATGTGTCTTAGTGCCAAGACGTTTCAGCTGAATCCTACAACAAGTGTAGAATTTGGAATAGGAAAAGGGCATAAAGCTAGGTTACAGAGGCCATAAAGTTTAAGGGATATAAAGGGAGAACACATGTGTAAAACAGACACAGCATTAAGTCAGAATGAGACATTTTCATTTTTCCCTTAGTGGACTATCATGATACAGTTAAAAATGAAAACAGGATATTCCACTTTTATATGTTCAGATGAAAATATATAATCACTGTATCAAATAAATGTATCAGACTGAGGTGATTAGTTCATGAAAACAATTCAGCTAATTCTAGGAATGACATACTGGCAGTTGACCAACAATTTAGGGTTTGTCGCTTGTTCTGGTATGCTTGAATGTTTCCTCACAGGCAGTCAAGCACCATGTTTTGATAATTTAGGACTTGTGACAAAGGAGCGTGGGATTTTAATACTTGCCCCATTATCTTATTTAACATTGAGTTGTTCTCCATTTTATTAGGAAGCTCTTACATAGGCTAGGAGGGTACTGCACTGAATAGTGCAGACCACAGACCCCTTCATGGAGTTTAGTAAGATCTGCAGGACCCAGGGACTTACTGAACACTTCTGAGCTTCAGTCTCCTTTGTAAGTCTACATTATATTATGACCTAATAAAGTAAGAACAGATACTGCTTATAGACATTCATCTCTGCTGTCATAATGTATTACTATACCATTAAGTGCCTTTATCGTATACAGTTGAATTTTCATATTTCACATACACACTTCATTTTAAACTGATAGAACAATGTAGTACAGAGGAAAGGGAGGAAGAATCTATAATAATTATAAGACCTGGTTTTAACACTTGGTTTTTCCATTCACTAATTATTTGATCCTAGAGAAACCTATGTGCAACAATTGCATTCACTACAAACATGGATAAAATTATTCACTCTACCTATCAAATTAGGCTGCTGCAAAGAAACAAATGAGAATTTCAAATGTAAATGACTGAAAAGTATAGGAATAAAATAATTTCTCTATCACACTCTATTCTGAGTCAACTGGCAAATATACCTGAAGAGATGTACCTGGAGGAAGACATTTCTTGAGTGGATGAAAATTACCTAAAAAGTCACATTTCACATAACAGGAGCCCTTCTTCCTCTTTCCTGTTAAGAACTAAATTTACTATCCAGAAGTATGTTTGGAGAGCTTCAAACCTCTGCTATTCTGTGCAATTCCAGAAGAGTGTAAGGGAAAAACTGTTCATTAAAGAAACAACCATTTCATTAACACTATCACATACAAAGATGTGTTAGGTACACGAGTCTATTTTGATCTTTTAGTGCTTTCAATGGGAACCTGAATTGATGAGTGAAATGGGGCAAGCAAGAAAGAAGCAAAAAGACATTAGAAAAAGAAATGCAAAAACAAGGACTGCAAAGGAAAGAAAAGAATTTCAGAAAGACAAAGGGAAAGAGTGCGTCTTAATGAAGCAGCATAAAGGGATTTTTTTTCCCTTTGGTGTAAGAAAAAAATAGATGCAGGGATAAATGAAGCAATTGTGAAAAATGGAGTAAAGAAAATGCATACATACGAGAGAACAAAAGGGAAAAAAAATCAAAGCCATGATGACAAGATAGAGAGAAAACAGAAATCCAGAGGCAGATGTTTGAGATACATGCTAAATCTGTACATGTCATAGCCAAATAAAAGAAACTGTTTAAGAAGAAATAAAAACCTTAACATAACCCATCACTTTCTGTTTTTGAATTTCACATAGAGCAGTGGATAGTCTTTATCATTTGTGCATTTCAAAAACAAAGCTCACTTTTGAAATGTGGGTTTCAGAGCTGATTTTTAAAAATTTAACTTTGTCATAGATGGTGGTGACAGCAGAAAGGTTAGGACTACTGATGGAGAAGGTGACATCACAGCCCAGATGCAGCCACAGGGTCGTGTGATAAAGGGCCTATAGCTACATGAAAACAAACATCTTGACTCATCTTGACTTGTAATCTAAAAATTATAAATATTTGTAAAATATCACATGATTTTCAATGTTTAAATTGTGTAATCTATTTAACTCCTGCTTAACTTATCTCACAGAGTCTTTTGGTTGTTCTGGGTGAGGACATAGTTTAGGGGATCTTAGGAATTTACATACCACATTCACAACTCAATGCGCTTATATTTCTTGAATTTCTGAAGTACATTCAAAAATAAGAGTGGTTGTGTCTTGACTAGAAACGTAATAAAATGAAAATTTAGGAAGCATCCTTTCAAAGGATGGCTGAAATATTTCATTAGTGATCTTTTCAACTAAATACAAAAATAACTCAAGAGGAATATTCTAAAATCTTACTCCTACCCTACCTACAGTGTAATTTGTAGAGTTAATCTGTCCACATTTACATGTGATGAGTAGCTCACTTTTGAAGAACATTATAAGTTTACTATCTTACTTTGCCCAGCAGCATTTTGGACATGAATATTTAAAAATGAATGTTTAGCATTGATAATAAGGACCCTAAAACTGCACAAATTTGTCTCATTTGTACAATGCACAGTATGTCTGTCACAAAGAACACGTCAAAGTGCAAATGCAACTGTTTGTGCCCCTCCAGAATCAGCTAGCCTCGAGCTGCTGCAACGGCCTCATGCTGCTAGCACTGCAGAGCACAGAGGCTCACCGGGGAGAGAAGCGCGAAGGACAGGGATTCCCTCATGACACGGTCCCTGAACTATTCTCGCTTAAATATTTCTTAAGATAGATATTAATACTCTTTCTCTCCCTATCTTCCTTCAAAAGTTAGCATTAGACATCTGGATAGTTGCTCATATGAAACCAAATCATTCTCTAGTAAAACTTACCACCCAAGAAGAAGAGCGTTTTAACAATGTGCTATGAATTCAGCAGGTAATACACTTCAGCATTATCAGCTACACGTACTTTCTCCTATGGAAAACCTAATGGCATAATACCATAAAGAAATGGCATGCTGCAAAAGGAGACTGGACAGTTTTCTTCCTTCTGCACACATAAAATTATTTTAGAGAATTTTCTTTGATGTAGCATGTGACACAAAAGGAAAGTGCAACTGATCTGACACTTCTGTAAAATATCACAATGAAATAAGAATGACCTGCTATTTAATTTTCAATGATAAAACAAAACATTTCATCCAAGTAGACAAGCATGAGATATAAATGGTTAAAATCTAAACAAGTTCACTGAAAAAAATACTGTTTATGAAATAAAATATACACAAAGTAAAGGAAATACTGAAGGAAAATAGTCTTCTCACTTACTCTGATATACAAATGCATCATTTCTTTTTCTCGTTGAGGGTTACGGTACTTCTCATAGAAATCACGTCGCTTCTTTGTTTCTTTAGAGACTTTATCTTTTCTTTCTCTCTTTTCTGCTGGTTCATCTGCACTATCAGAAGTTGACTGCACATGTATCTTTGGCTTTTCTACCTCAATATAGTTTTCATTGGGATTCAGCACTATTACTCCATATCCTTCCTGTTTTGAAATAAGAGAATATACCATAAGTTAATCTTAGAATCCATTTCAATTCACAATAAAATTTCTAAAATTGATGAATTTAGCATAGTTGTATATTAAATAAAATGTTCCTTTAAGAAAAATTATAAAGTTTTCTAATAAAGAGTCCTTTGAAATAGCTTGTTTCTATTAAACATATAATTAAGCATATGCTGTCTAAGAACAAAAAGACATAACTACAACATAAATATTATAAATCTTAAATTAAAATTCAGATCTCTCAGAACGCTAAATACTGAAATAAATGATCAAAGTATACTTTCAAATCACATTAATATTTATAATACACATTTTGTGAAAATAATCTCACTGAAATTGAAGTTAACAATTCAAACTACACTTTTTAGGATTTTTCTTTACAATTGCCCTTTAATGAGCACTTAAAATTTTTAACAGTGATAAGAATATTCAATTGAAAAGCTATAAATCTAACATTCCACAATGTTAATAATAAATAAATAAATAAATAAATAAGTGTATTTATATTACTAGAAGCACAGTCTCTATGAGCATCTTGGATTCTACTCACTTCTTTCAGGAGACTTGACAAATGACACAGAACAATCAAATACCTTATTATGATGGAAGGAAACACTTCCTTAATCTCAAATTTTCATTTTTGAAGCTACTGTAATATTTTTTAATTAAGAAATGTTCCTTAGGGAACTACAAGTAAAGTTTCAAAGTTTAAACATACAGCTTATTGAGCTCATTAAGGCTTTCTTTTAGTTTGTAAAACATATGTTTTCCTGTCTGATTTATTTCTAAACAGGCAAACATTTCTATGCTTATAATTAAGAAAACTTTTGATATTTATAACTGATGGAACAATCTAACCATGAGAAACCATAGAACGATAAATAACAACCAGTGACAAGCACGTGCAATGCTATTTTTTGAAGCTATTATATATGTTTGTCCTATTCAATTCTGGATTGTGGATGTTTCCATTATGTCTTTGTAAAATTCTACAAGGTCAAACTTAAAGATGTTATATATTTTATTATGTAAGAGTTAAAATGTAAGATTAAAATGTAAGAGTTGTAGAAAACAAGGCTTACAAAATACTTATCATTACTAAAAAAGTATAGATTTTCAAAATTATCACAGAACATTCTAAGTTTTAAATGTTATTTGTGTATTTATGTATTACTTTTGCCAAACCAATGGAAGGAATTTTTAAAAACTGAAAGGAGTAAAATCAAACTACTGTCAGTATGATTCCACTGCCTTACTGCTAACTACACTATATTGCTGCATCTGTTTGGCTTTTGTATAGTTGATTTGGCAAATTTCTTACAAACTTCATTGTAATTCTCCAAATTTTCACCTCACATCAGATGATGCTGTTGTGTATAACCATGACTGTTTGGAAATTCTGAAGATAAAAGAAGTTCTACTTTTAGTGCTAGAACTGTTAAGCTAAGTCATCTTATATATGTGAGTACTACATAATGATATATAACAACTAATTAATAAAATACCACACATTCTTCAACTGATGTTCAAATAAAACTTTTAGGTAAATAAATGCCTCTTTCATGAAGAAGTTACAAGTGTTCTATAAATTTCTTAATTTAAACATTTTGCTTCAAAGGATGATTTTTTTTTTTTTTTTAAGTTTCTTAGCTGGTAAGTCAAAAGTTTTAGCAACAAAAGATATTTTATTTGGTCTTGCTTTATTCTAATCTGTATAGCTATTTAAAAGTCTTGTAATTCATTGTGATCACTGTCAGGTAGACAGATTGTCACTTGGTGATTTTCTACAGTTGGACACACTTGAGTAGTTATTAAAATCACATTTGAAGAAGTTCCTACCCCTCTTCCTTGTGCCTCTTACAACTTTTCACGCCCTTCTCAAATTTCAGCTATAACTTCTCCTCCCACCAAAAGTAAGTTAAACAACACTGTTGCACTCTGCTAAACAGGGTGAAATAGAGGCATTCAGTACACTGTCTCTGGTATAAGGAATGTAGTCAAAAAAGGTCACCATAGGCCAAAAAGAAAATTGCCTCCTTGCTAGATTCTGTACCATGAGTAAGTGGTCTCCTGTCATGTTTTTCCCTGTCTTCTCTGAGTGAATTGAACTTTAAACACACACACACACACACACACACACACACACCCCTTGCCTGTCATACTCATACACAAGATTGAGTTAGCAAGTCCCAAATAGAAGTTTTCAGTTCCTAAGATGGAAATAACACCATACTACATTGTAAATATAACACCAAAAATTTCAAAGTTGGACTTTATTATTAATATATGGAAAGCACTGTTTTTATATTGAATGACATTCAAATAAAGGAAGTCTGAGAAAAGTTTATTATAGTCAACAGAATTATAAAACTAGGACACTAAGTCATAACATAACTATTACAGATATGTTCATAATATTACATTTCAGTTTTTCCTTCAACTTTTAAGAATTATAGACTAAAACTGCTGTGCCTACTTCATTTCAAATAAACTTTGAAATGTGACACATCCACTCTAGATAAGTATAAAAAATGGACAAATATATATCATTAAAGAAGTAGTATTTGTCTAAGTTATCGATTAGGTACCTGAAAATTACATGACTCACTTGTTCAATTTTATAAACATACAGTAGCAATTTTTCACTGAGGTATCAACAGGAGAAAATGATTCTATTTTTAAATCATCATTATCAAATAAAATTTTTATAATTTAGAGTTCAACAATGAACGTTTCTCTTTGAACACCTAAATTATTTAGAAAATATATTAACTTTTAGATAGTTGAGACTACCAATTTAATTAATGATAAGAATTATTCAGGCACATTTTCTGCAGAAATGAGTACTCATTCTTAGTGTCTTCATTCAAAATTAAATTACCATTCTGTAAAAAATACTAGTACCTTTCAATTAAATTTTACTGATGATATAATTGACACAATACTTACACAGAATATCCATAATCATTTTATAATGAGAAAAAAAAAGAAGGTACAACAAAATAAACTACTTTACTTGTCCTGGATATAACATCAGATACACAGTAACACTTAATTTCTTCTACCTTGTCTCATAATAATGTCAAAAAATTTATCATGCAAGGTAAAAAGATTTTGGAATGTCATCATTAATATGTAGAAACTAAAGAGCCAAATCAATAAAATACCAGCAGTTAAACTTAACTTTTAAATAAAAATTACATCTTTCAAAATCATAATACAATTTTGAAAAGTAATGTTATTCTCGGTACCTCAATAAGTGCACAGAAAAATAAGTTTAAAAAAAGTTGCTAACATGCCTTATAATGAACGTGTCTAAAAAGTTCTACAAAACTACATGATAAGGCAGTGAGTATATTATGACAAATGAACTGTGCATTGTTACTCTACGAAAGAATGCTTCATAATTTACGGTTAAACCCTTAAAATATTTTATATTGAAATGCTGCTTTCATATTTATCCCTAAGCATGCTGAATTTTGAACAAGATGATAGGCTAGGTCATTGGAAACATGCACAGAAACCTCTTCTGTTATCTTCAAACAAACATGATAAAAATGATTATCTAACATTCTACAACTAAATAAACAAAACTTCTGGCATGTTTCATAATGATTTACCCAAACCATTTCCAATATTCAATACTTCAAGAGACAAAGCACACATAGAGTTGTTAATTAACTCTGAGGTTTGATCACACAGTCTAGTAGATTAAGAGGACAGATACTTTGAGTTAATTCACTTCCTTTCACTTTCTGTATTTATGCACACATAACTGTAGTTTAATTTTGAGGCCTGTCTTAACTATGTAATCTTAATAAATCCTCAAAAGTTTACTGTAAGATATAGCATTTTATTCAGCACAAGAACTTCCTGTGAGTTAAATAAAATACACAGAACCCCACCCCCAGCCTTCTTTATGCTGGAGTCGCCAAATGAACTTACTGATAAATAACAGTTAATTCATCATTCAATCAACAAATATTGATTGGTTTGGGTCAGGTCTAAAACAGATAAACAATGCCAAACTCAAAGAACCAAAGAGGAAAACTTGCTAGAGAGTTAAAAGCTGCACAGAAATATGCTTATTAGTAAGAATCTGCAAATAGAAAAAACTTAAAAAGACCTGACAAAAACCAGACTACATTTGATTATAAATGATATTAGGAAAAAAAAAAACTTTAAGATAATTCAGTTACTTCAGTTACTAAAGATTAATTTTAATTACTAATTGTAAGAAGAAAGAAAAAGGGACAAATTCTACATCTTGCCAAATCTCTTGTGGTTGGCTACATATAAAGTCATCTGAAAGTAGTGGCTCTGCAGATTGCCCTGCTAACACTGTAGCCATACGTGACAAAAAGGGGCAGGGGCCACAGTGGAACCCTTCAACCTATGGAGCTACCCATTTTGGTCTTTGGGCAAAGTTCTGCAGATCATTTTACATAGATTTATCAATCATACTTTTCAAGTTCAATATTCTGTCTGCTTGGTTTGAAATAAGATAGGTGCTCATCCTCAAGGGAAATGAAATTCCAAGTGTTTTATCTTTATAATGCATTTACCTACCCTTAGCTAAAATAGACAAACCACTGTCCATTCATCTTTTGTGGAAGATGTATGTTGTGTTTATTCTCATCTTTTTTTCTCAAAAAGGGTATGTATATGTCACTGTTGCAACATCCTAGGTGCAACAGTGAGATGAGGTCATGACAACCAATCAGAAGTCACTAGTGAAGCGTTAAAGTAAACATAGCTGTTGGAGCTGCAGCTCTGCTTGAAAAATGCCCCCTCCATTATTTCAGCAATTTTCTCAAGACGTGACCTGGGACCGAAACAACTGAAATGTCACTTGACTCTTTTTTGTGCTTCTTCTCCACGTGCATTTAGGAAACAACACCCTACTGATATTTTGTAAAATGTTGACCAGCATCGTGTTTCAACTTGTAGCTTCCTGAATTCTAATGCTATGTCTAATG